ATCCCCAAGCCACCTTGGTTCTTGTCATGAGTCCCCTCCTCGCCACCGAACTAGATCCCAAGTCTTAATTTTGTCCCTACTCTCCTCTGCCATCCTCAATACACCACTATTCCCAACACTCTTCGTCCCCCTAAATTCCCAAATCCCGGACCTACCTCTAGCGACCAATAGCCTTAACCCACCTTCACCTTGCCCCCTCCCCAACTTCAGCCTTACAGAATGTCTATGTGGACTGGAACACAATTTCTCATCACAGTCCTAACATCCTTTTATTTTTATTGTATTCTTTGGTTTAAATTATTTCTTGTTTTTTGTTAGTGTCCATAGTTAAATTCTTACTTTCTTGTGTTTTACTTCTTTGTTAAATACGTAGTACTTGCTTGTCTTTGTCTCGTGTTTTGGTAGTGTTCATGTCCTACCCTTGTGTTTTGTGCTCGTTTTTTGTGGGTTTCTTATGGTCTCCCTTTTGTGATGGGATGTGAGTAGTCTAGGTATGGTCTCCCTTTGGCTAGTGATTATGTAAGGTTGTATCTCAGTTTTGTGGGTTTGGTGGGTGGGTTGCCAAGGAAGGTTATGGGCGCCTAAATTGGGATTTAGGTCATGGAACATAGGGTCCTTAAGGGGAAGTTTATAGAGTTGGTGAAAGTTTTTAAGAAGTTTCATGTTGCGTGCGACCAAAAAACGAGATGTGCAAGCACCAATACACATGATGTGGATGTGATCAAAATGTGGTACTTTTGCACTCCAAGGAACAAGAATGGGCTTGGCATTTTGAGTGATCTAGATCTTTATGAGCTTGTGGGTGGTCAAGGTGAGAAGGGTTAGTGATGTCCTAATGTCGATTAAAGTTGTTCTTGTTGGGTGTACTGTCAACGTTATCAGTGGCTATGCAACCAACATAAGCCAATTGTGATGGTTGTCTTGATCAGGTGGGAGAGGACAAGGCCAGCTACACGTGGCCTCTAGAATGAGGATGTTCTAGGGAGGATGGGTTGGCCTCTATGGAGGATACTTTGAGATAGTCTGAACGCCTACTGAGGAGAAGTCTAGTGAGACGATGTGAGAGGCTTGAGGTAGGGGATGTGAGAAGCCGTTGAGGTAGACCTAAGAAGAGTTAGAAGGAAGTGATTATACACGACTTACAAGTTCAGTATCTTACCAGGGAAATGGCCTTAGATAAGACTGTCTTGAGGTCTAATATTTGGGTGATAGGTCTTTAAGGCCTTATGTTTTTGGTTTTTGCCTGTGTGCTTGTGCACCTTTGTAGTTTCTTCTTGTATGCTTGTTTTGTTTGGGTGATTTCTTTGTTCGTGCTACTTTCCTTCACTGATATGCTCCACTTTTTCCTGAGTCGGGGGTCTCTTAGAAACAACCTCTCTACTCTCTGAGAAAAGTAAAGTTTTCGTACACACACCCTCCCCAAACCCCACTATGTGGTATTTTTACTAGGCATATTGTTGTTGTTATGAGTCTGGAACGTTGGCATCACACAAATAGGAACTACAACCTTGTAGCCAATACAAGGGGCCAACTTCTAAAGAGAACAATATAAATTCAATTTCAGCATACTTAATTAGAGAGTGTTGGTCTGAATTGTTGTCCACAGCAGATTCCTCTTTGTAGTGGTGCACATACTTTGATGTTGTGGTGAATGCAGATATTTTGCCTTCATACAGGAGTTGTTTGAGCAAGACACGTATTGTTAAGAGTGTGAGTTTGGTGGAAGAGTGGTTCTTGATTTTGTCTACTTCAACATTTTCCAAACAAATTGGTTATGCAATTGTCATGTAGACTAGAGTCAATAAAATATTAAAATCAAGTCAGTATATGAATCTACACTAAACTCTTTCCTATCTATTGGAATATGAGAACAAATTGGGGAAAGGTGGAAAAGGAACTTTTAAACAACGCTCTTGTTCTACTCCCTTGCCAATTTTAATGCAATATGGAAACTGAGATATTGCCAGTTATAAGGAATACAGAATAATGTATTTCCGAGAGTGATAGAATCGCTGGGTTGGTCTTACTCAACTTCACTACAAGACACTTGAGCAAACCAAATTCATTCAAAATTTCCACGTAGAACTCATCAATAAACACACACACATATATCCCATCCACACATGACAATTTCAATGAAGTGCACCTAGCCTAATTGCATGTGCACTAAGAGTGGGTTTTTGCCTAATTGTGTGTTAAATGACAAATGTGCTTTGTGGGCTGTATGCTGAATGTATTCATCAATAACTAAATACTTCATGTGAAATTATTTTGAATGAAAATGCATTGAACTTTTTGACCCACTCTCGGGACAATGCATGCATGAACTTGACTGGTTTTGCACTGTGTATACATTCATGCATATTTTATTTATTGTCACATCAACTCCTTGCAAAGGGGTAAAGGAACTGACTGATCTGAACTTATTTTACAGTTGTATCGATGTTACTGGATCATATTGTGCACAGAAAACTGAACTAAACATTAGCCTGACAGCTGTAGGCCTTCTATGGACTTCTATTGATTTTCTTGTCAAGGGGGCCAAGGGGCTTCAAGATGCTCACGAAGAACATAAAGAATCTGGTGAAAATATTTTGAGCTTAATTTTGAATCACCCTTCTCTTTATGGATCTGCATTTTTGCAATTTGTTGCGCTCAAATCCTTTTCCTTTTTGTTCAAATCATGTTTCAGATAAAATAAACAATGGGATTATGGAGGAGTATAATCTCACTTCTTCAAATAATTATAGGGAGCAAGCATTACAGCTTAATGTAATTGATCGTGACAAATTGTTATTTTCTGTTTTCTCATTACTACAAAGTCTGGTAGCTGATGAGAGACCTGAGGTATATTGTACTCTAACACTTGGAGTATTTAGTTTTAGTATCATAAGTTAAATGCACATCTTTGTTTTGATTCCCATTAGACTTTCAGTAAATGTTGCGTTGCATATTTGAGTGTATTTATACTTCGGAAAATGTGAAAATATGTATTATATATGTATGTATTTTAGCTGCAAAGAGTCACAAGGATTTGATGTCATGCACTCATGCATGAGTTATCATAGATTTACATAAAAGATAGTCTTTGATGACGTGCAATCTTCTTCACTCAAACAGATGGAATACAAAGCCTATCTCTGAACGGAATGAATAGAGTGATAATGCCCAATAAAGCTTTCAAACCATCAAATATAAATTTCCTCATTCCCCCGTCCTAGTCTTACTCTTACCCTTCTTTGAAAGACTCTTTGAGATAGAGTGATAAATCCGGCCGGCATGGGAGCTTGTGACCTATTGTCTCTAGAAGGCCATATAATAGCCTTTTCAGTGATAAGTTGAATGAGACTAAGATGAGTTCTATGCTCTTGTCCGATCCTATTGATTGGTGACACTACCTAATTGGGGTTTGGAAGGAGTTCATATTGCAAGATGATCATGAAGCATTAAAATAGCTCAAAATGCCTTCAAAGCCAACACAAACTTCATTCTTATCATGCTAAATGGGTGGAATATTTGCAAACTTTCACTTTGTCTATCAAACACAAAAGTGGAGAGTTTAAACAAAAGAACAAATGCCTTGTCCCGCAATTATTTTTCATGACTACTTCAAAAAGAAAAATAATTGGTATCAAGTTTTTGCAGGAATTGTACCAGGAGAATTCTGATTTCAAAGAGATCTCCGAGAAATGTTTGACGCGCCCCTATAGAGATTTCTTAATCAAAGATGGATTTCTATTTGAAGGAAACATACTATGCATTCCATGGTGCATTGTTCGAGAAGTTCACATTGATGAAGTTCAAAGAGGAGCACTTGCCGGACACTTGTGAGGAGAAGACGCGTGATTTAGCTAGAGAGAACTACTACGGGCCGAAACTTGTGATATGGAACACTTTATCAAGAGAAGTAACACCTTCCAACTAGCCAATAAAACCATACACGTGCTCAGGACTCTTTCCTTTCCTGCCCATACCTCTAATTCCTTGGAATATGTTAGGCATGGTTTCATTACCAGGCTACCACACACTCAAACTGCAGACCGCTCTTGCAAAGAAGTGGTTCGTTTACATGTCATTCTGAGGAGCATGGTTTCTCATCGGGACAACGAGTTTCTTCGTCATTTAATTTGCTAAGATTGGGGATAAGTATAAATAAGAAACTAAAATTCAACCGTTTTTTCCACCCCAAACTGATGGACATATTGAAATGATGTACAAGACCTTCGATACTTTTTTTCAGATCGATACACACTCATAAAGATGATTAGAAGAACATCAAACAATGGGGGGACTTACTCCTTCTGATGTATCCGAGCCCGACCCTTTCAGGTCCTTCCCCACGCCTCACACAATCATGGGAGCCAAAGGACTTATGTTCAAACATTATGATCCATTTTAGTGAGAATTCAAAGGTCTTTTAACCCGAAAGGCCAAAATAACTTTTGTTATTGACCTAAGGGTTCCGCTGGCCAAACCCCATTCCGTCCAACCCAACCCCAAACATCCAAAAATATTTTATTTCCTTTTGATATCCAAAATAAAGTCTCTTCCAGCTATTTTAACCCATGGTCAAAAATAAGAAACCAAAACAACCCCATTCATTTTCCCAACATTCACCCAACATGGTCCCTACTATGTTCCCTAGTCCAGCCTAGGGGTGTAAATGGATATTAATCGGATCAGATGTGCCATTACTAAATTCGTATCCGTTTATTTTTGTCGGATATCAAATTCGGATACGGATCTTGACGGATACTGAAAACCAAAACCGTATCCGCATCCGTCGGATATCGGTCAAATATCGGATATATCCGGATCCGTTTCCAATTTTTAAAATCAAATTCAACAATACTTTAATTATAAATTAGATTAAAGTCAAACTATTATTCAATCAACTATAATTTGGTATGCGATAATTATTTTCTTTGTTTTCATGATTTATGATATTTCTATGATAGCTTCATATGATAAAAAGATATACGCAACCCACATATACACATATTTTTATATGTATGTACATATTTTTATGTGTCTACACATTTATTTTGTATATAAAAATTTATTATATTTTGAAATATCAATAGAGAAACAAAATATAAAGTATAAACATAAAAAATTAGAAAAACTATATATAACGGATCGGATATTTGGATAAACGGTTATTTAAACGGATGCATATTCGGATCGGATTTTAAACGGATCGGATATACAATTACCAAATCCGTATCTGTTTAGTAATCGGATATCCTTAACCGGATACGGATAATATCCATTTAAAACAGATGCGGATATTTCCTCTTTAAACGGATTCGGATGCAGACGGTAATCGGATTTTCGGCTATCCGTTGACAGCCCTAGTTCAGCCCACTAAACAACCATAAAAGGCCAAGAGACACATGGTACTTTCTTAACCCTTTAACCACAAAATAAATCTTCATATATGCAGCCAAAGTACCACACATCACTCTTTCCCTTTGTCCCCCTGGTTGGCTGAATACATCCCCCAAAATCAGCCCAAAAGAATGCCACTCATTCCCCTTGGTTTGCCTTTCATTAGAGACCCTACAACCACACCCATCCCTGATTTTATTCCAATAAAAGGACCCAAACACATGGCTGATATTTCAAGGCCTTGAGAGAGGATGTTGCTAGGAAGCTTCCTCATGTTCACATTCATTGTATTGTGTATTATTTTCCCCTTCCCCTCTCCCTATATAACGTAGCCTTAGGGCAATGTGCAGGGACAATGGAATCATATTAAAAACGTTTTACTCTTTGAGTATTCTTAAAATAGTGTGATGCTGTTTTAGCCAAATTCCTAATTCTATATCTTAAGAGTGGTTATCTTAAGTGTGAGTTTTAGGTTCTAGTTATTTGATTGAGTGTGTAATATCTTGATTAAATACTAGAGTTTAACCCCAAGTTAATCTAGAGGTGAGCTTATCCTTTATTATTAATTTGGCTCCAAATTAAGATAAGAGTGTGTTTATCTCTTATTCCCTATTTGGAATTTATCCCATCCTTTCTAAACCCATCCTTCATCCGTGATTTTCCACTCTTCTTCATAATATTAAAACCCAAAAAGAACTCCTTCACATTCCCATATTTTCATCCAGCCCATTTCCCCTTCATTATTCCACAATTCCATCTCCAAAAATAACAACTTGATAAGACCCGCGGTTCACCCCTAACACCTTCACACACGGTTTGCTTACAACTGTGCTTCTAGCGAAAATACGAGTCATTCACCTTCTGTTACTGTATATCAGACTGATCCTTTCATTGCAATATTATTAAACCCATGGATAACCCGAAACAAAAGTATCCCGAACTCGATAGTATCAAACTCAAGCTTGACCTGACATGTTTTCCAGCTCTAATAACAAAATTCGTACCTCCCAAACTCTTTTCCCACAAAACTTTCTTTTCTATTTGCATTTGGCTGAACCCCTCTTTCAATATCATCATCCATCATTCCATAATCTATCTTATATGACACCAAATATTATCTCTTTGCTTTGATTCCTTAATCTTTTTTCAACAGGGGTGGCACGTGAAGTGTCTGATGATTGTTTGCGAAGAGGAGATAAGTCTACTCGCGTCTTCAAATATGATGAATCACTACCAAAAAACTAAATTTGTTAGAAAACTGTCTTTCCCTTTGCAATAATGAACTGTTCACACTAAGACAATATGGCTCTTGTAGTTTTGTACTCTCGTAACATGTGAAAGTATAATGAGGATACTGGTATTTATAATACAGTAGTCTCCTAAATCTTAATGTCATTGAAGGTGACATTATGAGTGACATCAAAGAGCTAATGTCAAGCTTCTTGCATTTGTATCGTACTCAAATATTCCTACATTTTGTTTCCACAAGTGTTTATATCTCAAATGGGTCGATGTTGTGTGGTTTAGCTCTCACAAGGGATCACCTTGTACTTGAATATGGTGCATGTTTTTGAGAGAGAAGTCTATTTGTGTTTTAGAGTATTTTTTATGTGACTAAGTTCTGCTCCCTCTTTCTAAGAAAGTAGCTGTATTAGTAGGTTGTTAATTGGGATCTGTTCCTAGCTACACCCCACAAGGATCCTCAAGACGTGTAGGTTTTCCAAACTGTACAAACTAGATTATGGTCCCATTAGCCATAACCCATAGATGTCTGATATTTAACACACACCCTTGTGTCCTGTCGTACTGGACAACCAACAGGCAGACCCCAAACCATGTGATAAACGGGCAGTTTCCAAACTCTAGAAATAAAAAATGGGTAGGCTCTGATACCATGTTAATTGGTCAATTGCGTCTAATTTTACCACAACTGGATGCTTTAGAGGATGTGGTTTGCCAAATTCTATCAACTAGACTATGGTCCCAGACTCCCAGTACCCATCCATGCGGGATACTTAACATAGATAATTTGCTTCTACGAAATCTAGTATGACGTCACCCTTTGGCCTTTTCATGTTTTTTGTTATAGCTACACACGTGTGTGTGTGTGTGTGTGTGATATCTAGTTAGATGATTGTGTAAACTGCTTGGCGTGCAGAAATCAAAAGTTTTAATCTTCTTTATTCTTTAACATTCAATTGAATATATATCATTGATCTACCTAAATTGACTCTAGGTACGTAATTCTGCTGTCCGGACACTTTTTCAAATACTTGGAAGCCATGGGCAAAAACTTTCAAATAGGATGTGGGAGAATTGTCTGTGCAATTATGTTTTTCCTACACTTGATTGTGCTTCTCACATGGTAGGTTACATTGAATCAGATATTACCCATTGCATGTCAGAATTTTAAAGTTTCTTGTTTCTCACTTACCTGTTTGAGTCTAATCAATAGGCGGCTACCTCATCAAAAGCTGAATGGCAAGGAAAAGAGCTTGGAACACGTGGAGGAAAAGCGGTTCATATGCTCATACACCATAGGCATGAGAAATTCGAAATGCTTCATCTTGACAGTACTTTACATTGTCATAATCATGGTTCCCACCTTAATCCCAACTCCCAACTGTTTTGGTTGGTGTTGATGGTGTGAAAATTTGTGTCCATCAATGGGCTCAAATTAGTTCACACAAAAAGCCATTGGAGAAATATTACGTCAGATGCGCTTTTATGGAAATATGAGATGTAACTCTATAACCATCATCAACGTAGGCTTTTCCAACGTGCATCAAATATATCTTGGGACTCAGTAAGCTGTGATAGCTGTTCCACTGTTTTTAAATTTTTTAATGCAATTATTTGAACCTGCAGCCGGAATACTGCGCAGAAACAATGGGATGAGACACTAGTTCTTGTGTTGGGTGGAATTGCACGCGTTTTAAGAACCTTTTTCCCATTACTCAGAAATATAAGTAATTTTCAATCAGGTAAATTTTCTATTCTTTTAATCTTTATGCTTTTTAAACTCAAAATGTACTTTGAGTTTCACTTTCTTGGATAATGAATGATGTTGTGGCACCTATAGGATGGGACTCTTTACTGTGCCTCGTTGAGAACAGCATCTTGCATGGTAGTAAAGAAGTTGCCCTTGCAGCAATAAATTGCTTGCATTCCACCATAGTTTCACAGTCTCCTAAGGTAATAACTACTGGCCTTTCTGAGGACGAGGAGTGCTCAAAGGGTCATTGCACCACACTTTCTTATGAATAGATGGTACCTATTTATTTNATTTTGTTCAGTAACATCTTGATAAAACAGGGAAATTTGCCACTTCCATACCTTATATCTGTCCTTGATATTTACGAGCTTGTTCTTTCGAAGTTGCCTAACTACAGTAATAGTGCAACCAGCAAAGTGATACAAGAAATCTTACTTAGTCTTGGTATGTCTATTCATTGGTCTGAACAGATATTTAGATTGTCCAAGGAGCTTTTTCAAGTGAAGTATGCATAATTCTTCAGTTTTTGGCAGGTGATCTATATGTTCAAGCGCAGGAAATGTTTGACAGCTTCATGTATTTAAAGCTGCTAAAAGTTCTAGATGTGGGGATCAAACAAACCAAGATTGCAAATAGAAACTTTGAAGCTGATTATGTATGTAATTGCATTCTGGCTAGGTTGTCTTCACCAAAAAATGCTTGCACAATTACTGCACATTCAAGTCTTGTTGTTGATTACAGGCCTTATAGCTCAAGACAGATTCTTGTTTCTTTTAGCTGAGTTTGTTTAGTATTTGATGAAGTGAAGAAACTAGAAGCTGAAAAATTCTTAAAAGCTTCTAGCAATGGGCTCTAAATGATTTATGTATTGTTCAGTATGATATATCTAATGTGAATATCTGTGCATTAATTGTTATCTGATGATCTGTTGTTTTTTCTTTAGGGCCATCTTCCACCTTTGCAGCGCACTATACTTGAGATTCTACCAATCGTATGTCCAGCTAATCATATTGCTACAATGTGGCCCCCTTTCCTTGGGAAACTAATGGAGTATCTTCCAGGATGTGATTCTTCCATTGGCGAAATTGATGATGGAGATCAAGGAAACAGTAATAGTTTTATGTGCTTATACTTGTGATTTTTTATCTATACATCTGTGAAAATATTTTTTGGGTTATGTTTTATGCAGCTGCCCATAGTGTTGATGTTCCTTGTAGAATTGCTTCAAATTCTCCAAAGAAATCAGAAAATTTATCACCTGCAGGGCCATGTGTCCCAACACATATGTTCTCCGAGAAACTTATTCCTGTACTAGCAGATCTTTGCGTGCAAGCTCCAGCTGCAGTGAAGTATGACGTTTTCCCTGACATTATTCATGTTTTAGGAAGGTAAGAATCGATTAGAAGTGCTTTTGTTCCGGCTCCCAAATTTCAATTTAAGCTCCTGATAATACCAGGAGATGATACACACAAAATTTAGGATGTGGTCATTTGGTCAAATGAGTTGGTTCATCACTCGGTCTTCACTGTGAAATACAAAATTATATAGAAATTGGAAGCATAAAAAATTACTATCTCTGTTGGTGTTTGTATGAGACCCTATTCTCATGGGATCCAACTGGCATGTTGTTTTATCTATGTTTGTGGTAGATTTGTCTCTGTATGCAATGGGGCATGAGGTTTTGAGATATCAATCCCCTTGAGATGAAGTCTGAAGGGTTCGGAAAAGCATCTAACATGGCTCAAGAGTGTCAAGTCTTGTACTCTCGTAGATGAAAACAAAAGTGTAGATGAAAAAAACTGATACTAGGGGACACATAAACCCTACATTTTCCAAGATAATATCATCTAAATTCTTTTTGTAGTATAGAGTACTGCAAAATAAGAATAAAATACTGTCCCGTAAAAAACATCCTTCTTTGACTTCTATGGAGTTAAAGAAACATGTTGAAAAGTGAAAACTTTATAGTTAGACTTTGTTTAGAGAGGATTGTTTTACTGTGGCTGTTAGCTATCCAGATTCCAGATCCAACATCGATAATAGCTTCTTGATGTATATGTGTTAGCAACAGTAGAGTAGGCGAGGATTGAACTGGTGGAGGCCACACAGTTGTTGAGGGAGGACAATGTGCACACAATTGTTTAGCCAAAGTTTTTCAAAAACCCCAAAACACAGTGGCCATTCTATAGATACAGCATTTATTTCTTCTTCCTCATTAATGGAGGGTATGGCTGCACCTCCTTACCCGTGGGACTTGAATGCTGTCCCCTCAGGATTTTTCAGTTGGTTGCGACTTGAATGCTCTGCCTGTTCTGGAATATTTTGTTTCGTTTATGGCCACCTGGTTTGTGTTCACCTTCCCCGCCATTGTCGCCTTGTCTATCACTGCAATGTTCACCTCCACTGCGACGGTCAGGCTCCGATCAGGCCATGTCCACTGCTGTCACCTTCTCCGTCACTGTCACCATTACCGTCTAAGCCGCTGTGACTTTCACCTCAACTGTGACTCTCCCCACCTCTGCAAACTTCACCTCCACTGCCATCTTCACCTCTGCTGCTCGACTTTCCTTAAATGCCACACTCTCCTCAAGTGGAGGACTTGACCGAGCCTGTTATTGAAACCATGCTACAAATCAAGAGAAAAGGGAAAATACACATGCAAGCAAGAGAACAGAGAGATAGTGGAGTTGTTGCTAGCTTGTTCGCGGGAGGGGAAACCTCAGCTGGGTCTTATGACTCTTATCAAAAAAATCAGCAAAGACTTCAACATTTCAACAATACACATTTACAACTGTGGTCAACTACTAAAAGTAGTGTCCATTCAGTGCTGCCACTAAACTTGGTGAGCAAACAGATTGGGACACTAGGGAGCATAGTTGTGAAAAGCGTGCCTGAGGCACAATGCGCACGAAGCGCCAGGAGTAGTGCATTGCCAACCTTGATGCACGCGCTGTTTGTGAGGCGCGCGCCTTACTGTGCCTCGTCGCAATATGCGCAGTGTATTGATGCACAAAGAGGTGCGCGCCTTATGAACATATGTTTTTTATTTTTATTTTTTATTAATTAGAATTAGCGCTAATATTTATTACAACTACCCCTCCCAACTTTTACGATCCCAATGAGATTAAACGGAATACCTATTGGGAAAATTAAAAGATTATTTTCTCTTTCTTTTATTTCTTCGATTCAAGTACGACTCTTCCTCCCCAGTCTCGCAAGTCCTTCTCCAAACCGGCACACCTACTGGGCAGAAGCAGGTTAAGTCAGCTCTCTTCCTTCTTACGATATATTTTCTCTCTCGCTGGTTTCTCTTCTTTCTACTGGGCTAGTCCTTCTCTGTTTTTCATTAGTTTTTTTATAAACATATTGTTCTCTGTTTTTTTGTATTATTCTGTTTTTTAAACATTTGTTTCTTAACCTCTATTATGCTTTTCAAAATTCTCTCTCTCTCTCTCTCTCTCTCTCTCTCTCTCTCTCTCTCTATATATATATATATATATATATATATATATATATATTATATACTCCCTCCGTCCATAAATTATCTTCCCACTTTCCTTTTTCGTCCGTCCACAAATTATCTTCTCATTTCCTTATTTGGCAAATTTTTTTATGTGTATTGACCTATCTACCCTTTTATCCCTCCACGCCCCTTCCCTCCTCCACACTTCTTCCACACCCTCATCTTCTTTTTCCACCCCACACCTTCTTCGTCTTCCAACCAAACTGCAGCTTCTTCTCTTTGATTCCCCCCACACTTTCTTTTTCTTCCACCCCACACTTCATCATCTTCTTTGATTTGACCCACTCCATAACCTCACTACTTTAACCCATCTTCTTCTTCATTATTCCATCCCATCGATTTGCAGCGGCTCGAGTCAGATCTGAAGGATATTCGGAAGTGCGGTGGTGACAGATGCAAATCTATGATGTAGTCATAATACAATCTATAGATTTCCGTCAGATCTGAAAGTAAATCCGTTCAAGTCGCAGAGTCGGGCATCGAAAAGCAAATCCCTTCGTCTCGCATATCCAATCTGTATTCCTAATTTTCAAATTGCATTTTCGTCAAATCTAAAAGCAAGTCCTTTCATCTCCTTTTTTTCGTCAAATCTGAAAGGAATAACCCTAGTTTGGTTTGGAAATATCTCTTTGCCGATCTGAGGACTTCAATCCAAGTCTATGGTAGAGATGGCGCAACGATGATACCTATTTTGGCTGTGGAGTCAGCCCTCTAGCGGAGTAAATTGGGGCGGAAACGGCGGAAGTAGGGAAGGGGCATCCTCCTGGGCAGATTAGTCGAGAGGGTGGTTGGAGGGCATTTTAGTAAAGTCAATGGAATTTTTAACTTATCTTAAAGTGCGTGCCCGGTCAAACCGGGAAGATTATTAATGGACGGAGGGAGTATATACATATATTATATATATATATATATATCATATATATCGGATGAGTTTTAGAGAGAGGGAGGCGTCTGGCGACTTTGGCGACCGGCTACACCCTAGATTACAGCAATGGGATGATCGGAACTGTGATGGTGGTTATCGTCACCGAGACCATGGATTGAAAAGGGAAGACACTGGAGGAGGATTATTTCGTACTGAGGAGCGTTGAATTAGAAGAACTCGAAAAACTTCAGATTCCATCATCGGCCTCTCTTTCAGAATCCAATTCAAAAGGTTTGAATTTCATGTTTCTGCCCTTAACAAGATTATTCAGATCTCAGAAAGGGGGAGATGGAACAACTATTGATTTTGGATAAATCTTAGTCTAATTCAGTGGATTATCTCTTGTTTTGAATTTGTTCTCCGAAATCCTATGGTCACTCTTTGCAACCAAAGCTTTTGTGACGGAAATAGAATATTCAGTTTTGATTTAGACTCAAATGATTCAGGTTTTTTTTGTCAAAATTGTGGAGAAGCATGTTAATGGTTATACCTCTATTCATGTTCCTGAGGGTTGTAGTAGGTTTGGTTTTAGGTTCTTTCTTGCTCATTTGATTAAGGCGGGGCTTTGGTTTAAGCACAACAAAACTACAGAAAAAGGGATTATTGATTTGGTTCTTTCTGATAGCAAGACCATAGGTGAGACTATTTCTAACAAGGAGGAGGCAGATGCTCAACTGGATGTGGGCAGAACTGTTGGCGATGACCTAATGGCCCTCTCTGAAACTAAACAGCCATGTTTAATAGCACAATCAAAAGGTGTAAATCCTATTTGTGTCCTAGCTGCTAGTTCTTCAATTCAGGACATGGCTGCTAAACTACCACCTGCCTCTTTTTAAAAGGAAGCAACCACCAGTGCTGCAAGTCTACATGCTGAGGATCTGCCTTCACCTTGTGATCTCAATTAAGCACATTTAGCAATTATTTCAAAGCATAGAGGTCATGAGAAGCAGAATTCAGATCTGAAGAATTTAATTGGGATAAAGGAACGAACTCCTGATTCTAAAGCTAGACATCTATTAAGTTCATCTAAGGGTGCAGTCAGGGCTTCGAGGACAATTGAAACAGATCAGTGCATAACCAGTGCAGCAAAAGACAAAGGTTTTGAACACCAAACTGGAATTGCAGAGACCCCTAGTGTACATCCTCACACAATTCCTAGTTGCAGTCCACCAGTGACAAATGATCCAGCAGATAGCTCAGGCTCAGGATCTATTGACACTCTGGTTCAATATACTACTGGTGCATATCGCTCTGCTTGTGACCAACAACCTAAGTCAAGTGTATTAAGGCTACCTATTAAGTCAAAGCCTCTTGGAGTCCTCAATGTTCAGGCTCTTCCTTTCCGACCAGCTTTTCAAGGTTTATACCAACCTAAACCCATTGATCAGAGCAATCATGATGGATCAAATTTACAGAAGGGTAATGGTATCCAAGTAACAAAGTAAATCACTTAAGGAGTTGAAGGCATTGTCAATGTCAAAGGAGGAAGATACAATTAAGGCTACTCCACTAAGTATTTTAGACTTGAAATTGGCTTATGATTGCTCTAAGCCCATCAGCCTCATTGATTTTCCTTTGGTGGTGAATCGAAGAGAAGAGTCTCACTGCACAGAGGAGGGGAAATAGAGGATAGTGACGTACAACATGAAGACAACATTGATAATGACCTTGCTTTTATGGATGAGGATGCAATATTCATGGGTAAACAACAAAATAGGAACAAAAATTCTAAGAAGAAATTTGGGCAGCCTACCAACGATATCCAACTTTTGAGAAGTGGAAAAAGAAGCAAAAGAAGAAATAGATGAGCCTTGGATTGATGTTTATTATCGTTTATTGGTTACTAGTTTTTCAAGAATGGGTCAGTTGTCAGTTGCTACACTTATCCAAAATGCTGTGTTCTTGTTCAATGCTGGGTTCTTGTTCAATGCTGCAGTTTCCTGTTCAATGCTGGGTTCTTCTTCAATGCTGTACTTTCCTATTCAATGCTGGGTTCTTGTTCAATGCAGCAGTTTCTTGAGATTTGGAGCTTTGTGGTTGTGGTGGAATTTCTGGATGCTGATGTTTACAAGCAGAAGGATCCGAATGCAAGACCAGAGTTTGGGCCATGCTTCTATTTGGTTCTTGCTGGTAGTGAGCTTTAATTATAGTGTTGTTTGACAGTTTATGGGTTGTCTTGTTTCTCTTTTGTTTTGGTCTGTTCCTTTCTTTAGTGTTTTGGATTTTTTCTCCTGTGGTTGCTTTGGCCGTGTGTTGGGGACGGCCACCTCCCTTTATGTACCTTTCTCCTTTTTAATGAATAAAAAACCTCTTGTTTGGTTATATATATATATATATATATATATATATATATATATATATATATTTATTTATTTATTTTATTTTTAAATAAAAATTTTATTCAATAAAAAAGTGCCTAAGTGCCAAGAGGCTGACACCTAGTACAAGAGAATGTAAAAATTCCAAAGCTAAAAACAGGAGACATATATAATAATGTAGTATCAATTTTGTTCGCCCAACACAACGTTTGCAAAAGCTTGTTTATAGATATCATAACCTCGTCCCGTTTCCAAACACCATGAGAATAAAGGATTGAGTTGTATCTCTTCCAAATCGACCAAATAATGATTCCCGGCAAAATAAATCTGATATTACCCTTAAACGTTGATCGGTTAAAGGACAACCACCAACCTAGCAAAGATTGATTAACTGTCCAAGAGCTGCCAATGACAGGTGCATCCGACGCCACTGCATATAACCTCCAAAGCTCCACCACCTCTCTGCAGTTGATGAAAAGATGGTCCTCATCCATACCGTCTGCCATACAAAAGGGACAAAGAGCTGATGTCTGCACATTCATCCGGCTGAGATTCATGGGGAGAGGGAGAGTCCTGTTCAAACACCTCCAAAGGAAGATGCCAACTTTTCCAATCTGCCTCTTATCCCATAAGTAAACACATGACAGTTGCTTTGGGTGATGATTATAGGTTAAAGAGTAAGCCACTTTGAAACTATAGGTTCCAGTCCTCCATTGCAGTACCCCATTGTTAAAATGGCAGTGAGGAGAAACTAAATGAAAAACCCTGCAGATGGCTTTCCATGTATAGGAATCATAAGCTTGATATGTGTAATCACCATCCCTAAGGTACTTGGCCCGCATATACTGACTCCAGATTGAAACCCCCTCGTGAACCTCAAACAACAACAACCCAGTTAAATCCCACAAGAGTAGGGTCTGGGGAGGGTGTGTGTACGCAGACCTTGCCCCTACTCGAAAGTAGAGAGGCTGTTTCCAAAGAGACCCTCGGCTCAACGTCGAAAGTTGCATTGCTTGACTAACTGCTACTTCATTAATTAAAGAAGCGCAAATAGTTTAGATATCCATTTTGATTTATTCCATCACACCCCTCGTGAACCTTCCACCATAAATCAATAGAGGCAGCTGTTTGGCAAAGATTTAAATCCCTCAAACCCAGGCCCCCTTCTTCAAAAGGCAAACAGAGCCTAGTCCATCTCCTCCAATGGCATTTGTGACCATCATCCCTAGCTCCCCAAAAGAAATTAGCCATCAAGCCATTGAGACATTTGATGATAGATTTTGGTAGAGTTTGCGCTGCAACTAAATGTAAAGGTATAGAGGAAAGCACATGTTTGATAAGTATAAGCCTCCCCATCTGGTTTAGCTTTCTACTGTACCATGATGTTATCCTCTTTTCAAACTTCTCCACCAAATCCTTGCAATGTATCTTCCTTAGCTTACCTCTGACAATAGTAGAACCCAAATAAGTAAACTCCTTTGTATGACACTTAATGCCTAGAATCCTGGTAATTGCCCTTTTCTGCTCAAGCCTCATCTTGTCATGCACAATGGCTTGACTTTTGTTTAGATTTATAGCCTGCCCTGAAGCTTCCATAAAGGATGATAAAATTGTCTTCACTCTCAATAGGTTTCTGCAATCTGCCTTTGTAAAAATAATAATGTCATCCGCATAAAGAAGATGGCTAGGGGTTGGGGTTCTGCCAGAGGAAAAGGAGGAGATCCTGCCAATTGAGTGCTGAAAGTTCAAGAATCTTGTAAGACCCTCCAAGGCTAGAATGAAAAGTAAGGGAGATAAAGGATCACCCTGCTTAACCCCACACTTCATAGGAAAGAAACCCTTTGGCTGCCCATTAATAAGCACAGAAAAGAAGGTTGATTTAAGGTTTCCCATCAAAAGCTGAACCACTCTTTGATTAAAACCAAACTTAGCCAGGATTCTTTCCAGAAAATGCCATGAAAGTTTATCAAACGCTTTAGACAGATCCAGCTTCAGTATACAATTCCCTCCTCTCACCTTTGCTGAAAGGAGATGTACCATTTCCTTAGCCATCAGAACTTGCTCAGTTATGCTTTTGCCCTGCTGGAATGCAGCCTGCTCTGGAGAGATAAGCTTGGGCAATAGCTTTTTGAGTCTGTCACTCAATATTCTGGTTGTAATCTTGCTAAAGAAAGTGGACAAAGAAATGGGTCTAAACTGATCTAGGGTGATGGCAGACTCATTTTTAGGGATAAGAGTGATTAAAGTACTGCCAAAGACTCTTGGCAGCTTGACCCCAACAAAGAATTCCTGAACAGCCTTACAAACATCAAGTTTGATGGTATCCCAGCACTGCCTATAGAAGAAACCATTAAACCCATCACCACCAGCTGAACTATTAGGATTTAAAATATATATATATATATATATATATATATATATATATATATATATATATTTTAAATCCTAATAGTTCAGCTGGTGGTGATGGGTTTAATGGTTTCTTCTATAGGCAGTGCTGGGATACCATCNGCAGCCTGCTCTGGAGAGATAAGCTTGGGCAATAGCTTTTTGAGTCTGTCACTCAATATTCTGGTTGTAATCTTGCTAAAGAAAGTGGACAAAGAAATGGGTCTAAACTGATCTAGGGTGATGGCAGACTCATTTTTAGGGATAAGAGTGATTAAAGTACTGCCAAAGACTCTTGGCAGCTTGACCCCAACAAAGAATTCCTGAACAGCCTTACAAACATCAAGTTTGATGGTATCCCAGCACTGCCTATAGAAGAAACCATTAAACCCATCACCACCAGCTGAACTATTAGGATTTAAAATATATATATATATATATATATATATATATATATATATATATATATATATATATATAGGTTCTGGTGAGAATGCAATCTTAGGAGAGAAATGAGAATGAATCTGGTACTTTAGATTGTGAGATCTAAGGGTCAAGATTTCATCAAAATTAGATGCACCAAAATGGTTCGAAAATGCATCACGTCGAAATGCACCATAAACCTTCGAAAATGCACTATCTCAAAATCTGAGCCGCACGATGCATCAGATTTTACGGCTAGATTTTATTCTCATTTCTCTCCACAAGGTGCATTCTCACGGGAACCGGCCCTTATATATATATATATATATATATATATATATATATATATATATATATACACACACACACATATATATATATATACACATATATATTATATATACATATATATTATATATATACATATATATATTATATATATATAAATATATATATATATATAAATATATATAATATATATGTATATATATATAATATATATATATATATATATATGTATATATATATATATATATATGTATATATATATATATATATATATACTGGAAATTCTACAAGTGCCTTAATATGTGCCTCATGTTCGTGATGCGCGCACATTATTTGCGCATCGAGGCACTAGAGGTCCTTTGTGCATTGGTGCGTATAACGCCTTAAATAACTATGGTATGGAGGAAAAAGGAAAAAAATAATTTGGATGTCATTGCTGAGATTCCTTTTCATATGAAATAATGAGAAAGAACTTCTGTGCATTGAGCTACGCTATGTAGACATTAAAATCAAGCGTGCATAGGTTGTTTCAAAGCAAGCAGTTAAGAAGACACGGCAATGCTTCCAAGCCTGCTCTCACAGATGCAGGTAAGCTTATAAGACTGCAATTTTGTTTGGATCATGTTGGGCATGACATAATATCACAAGTGCACACTTTTCTTGACATTTACGATCACATTCATATTGATGAAAAGTGGTTTCAACTTTCAAAGGAAACAACCACATTCCACACCCTACGAACTGAGACAGACCTTTACCGGAAAAGCCAATCCAAAAACTTCATTCCCAAAATCATGTTTTTGGCCATTCTCGGTAGGCCAAAGTATGGTGCGGATTGGGCATTACCGTGGGGCGGTAAAGTAGGGATATTCCCTTTCACATTTTTGGAAAAAAGCAAAGAGAGAAAAAACAGAGCTGCAGGTACTCGAGAGATAAGCCAAATTTAAACATGGCAAAAGATGCGATTAGAGATTCGCTGATATTGAAATTTTTACCAGCAATTCAGGGAAGGTGGCCAGATTCTGAGAATAAACATGTCATCATTCAGCAAGGTAATGCAAGGCAACTCATAGACCCATATGATCCTGAATTTCTAATGGTTGCAAAATAAGGTGAATGGAATCTAGAGGCATAGAGCTATGCTATCAACCACCCAATAGCCCTGATCTAAATGTGCTAGACCTAGGGTTCTTTTAAGCTATCTACACCTTTAAAAAGAAAAAAGCTCCTAGGCCTATATTGGAATTGCTAAATACCTTGGATTTGAAGACCTCAGGCGAGAAACATTAAACAGTGTGTTCATAACCTACCAAACTGTCATGGAAACAGTATAGAAACACAATGGAGGGAACAATTTCAAGCTTGCACATATTGGCAAGGACAAGTTAGAGAGACAAGGGGAATTGCCAGAATGTATAACAATCAGTGCAGTAGTGGAAGGTGCGAGGGAATATGTCAGGGCAAACATGGCAGGAACAATTAATGCAGCCTTAAAGTGAAGGCAGTATGTGTGAAGACCTATTTTTGCTATTGATGTGTGTGTTCACACCATAGAGCTAAGTACAATTTTTTATGTACACCCCAGAAAAGTAGCGTGCACACAAGGTTTGTTTTGGTTTTTTTTAAATGTCTCTAAAGCATGACTATGAAGAACAAATGCTAAATGTATCTTTCATGTGTAGAATTTTTCTGTTTAAAACATTGCACTTGGTCTTCCTTATGCGTACACAGCAATTGGGGCAGCAAAAACAACAAATAAGGCTTATAAACCATGTGTAGCAATCTGTTTTTAGATCAGTTTAAGATTCAATTAGGGTCGGAATCATAACATTGGACAAACCAGCAACCAGAAATAATCTCAAAATCAGGCACATTAGGAATAGTTTTAATTGGGGCAACCAAAAAACAGCAAATTTGGCCCCTGAATCAAGTGTAGCAATTTGCCTCTAAACTTTAAAATCCAATTAGGGTCGTTAACAAGGACAAACCAGCAACTATAAGCAACCGCTAAATTGGGCACATTAGGCACAGTCATCATTTGGGCAACAAAAACAGCAAATAATGCTCATGAACCAAGTGTCACAATCTGATTTTAAATCAGCTTAATATTCAATTATGGATCCATACCATTAGATTGGGCAAACCAGCAACCGCAAACAAGCCCAAAAGTTATCATCAGTCCCACCCACCTCAAGCACAAGCTAGCACACTAACCACTCTATACATGCAAAGGAGAAAAGAGGATGTACAGGATATCGCCCTCCAGTCACAATCCCACTGTGCATGGAATGTCTTGGTGGCAAACTTTTTTTGAAGTTGAACTCTTTATCAGAGGACCGAGGATGTATTCTCCATCTTTGATGTCCTTTCTTCCCCTTCATCTTTCCAGATCTGTGTAGTTTTCATTACTGTCTTCCCATATCCAATCATCTCCGAACTTTTTCCGATAATTGCATGTGGGATCTGTTTTGGATGAAGTCCAGGAATTGGCTCCACGTCGTTTGAGATTGGGGGCGGATTCGATGAATTTGTTCCGTCATTTCCGTGATAGAAGAAGACAAAGATGAAGGAGTCAATCGATTGATTGGAAGATGAAGAAGAAACAATGTTAGCAGTGGAAGATGAAAAATCGTAGCAG